AGTGAGAAGGCCATGTGGAGGTGGGGACAGAGGGTGGGGTGATGAGGGAACAAGACAAGACGCTGAAGGAGGCAAAGAGCAATCCTCTTCTGAAGCTTTTGGAGGAGGCATGGCCCAGGCAGTCCCCTGACTCTGGATTTCTTGCTTCCCAAACTCTGAAAGAATAAATATCCACTGTTTAAACCCACCAATTCGGGGGTAATTTGTTACAGCAGACCTAGAAGATAAATACCCTGGCAATCTTAGAACTGCATGCTGCTGCCTGCAAGAAACCCAGGTGATCACTGAGTGTCTCTATTCTTGGAAAAACAATCCTGAACAAGCACTGAGTCAATAATTAAAATCGGTTATTTTTATTAGTACAGCAACAAGAATAGTTGAGGTGTATTGAGCTCTTACCAAGTGCCAGGTGCAGTCCTGATCATTTCACATCTAGTAACTCCTTCAATCCTCCTGAGAACCCTAAGAGGCAGCTACTGTTACTATCTCCATTTTGCAGACAAGCAAACTGAACTAGGAGTGTTTTTCTCACTTTCCCAGGCTCTCATAGAAATGAGCAGCAGGCAGGGCTCAGCCACGTCTTTGCGTGAAGTACAGTGAAGTGCAGAAGAGCGTGCTAGGTCCAGATGTCTTTGGGGAGGCTGCCTGACCTCTCTGAGCTGGACCAAAGCTCTGGCCCACCTCCCCAATTCTGACATTCTGGGGTCTCCCAAATCTGCCCTAGCTGTAAAATGGTATGATTTCCAAACCAGGTTTTTCCTATTAATGGTGATTTTCTTTTACATTCTCACATAGCTCTCCTGCCAGAATCCAGACACCTGGTCTGCTTTGACATTCAGTCAGGAAAAATAACCAGAAACGCAGCAGAATCAGCACATTCCCTGAGCCATACTGAGGGATGGCGAGAAATGTGCCTCATATTTTAAAATGTCCCCTTCCTCCCACAGCCAGGCCTCACTGATAAAGCAGGCCCTGGGGCTGCCAGGGAACCAAACTGCCTCTCATTCTTATATTTAAATTTAATTTAACCGTAGTGTTACCCTACATGTCAACAGTTCAGGACAAATTGATGGATTCTAGTTTAACTATTTAGCTGTGCCAGTGGTAATGTGTGCAACCATGCATTAAATTAAAAATGACACTTGGAAATACGTATATCCTGGACCTCAGTTCTGTGCAGCAAATAGGAAAAAGATTTAAAATGCTGTCTACTGGAGGATTACCACTGAAGAAGCATGAATCTCATTACCGCAGGCTACACAGAACACATTTGCAAAGCTCCGTTTAAAAGCTCTCTGATGGTAGCAGCCTGGTTATCTGGCTGGATAAACATGACATTTCCTTTCCGTAATAGAAAGCCCAGTTGCTACCAAAGCAAAGATGTTGTCAGTGTCCTCAACCTCCCACACCCACCTGGATTCTAGGCACCCTCGCTCAGCTTATGTGTCACCCATGCCAGCTGTCCTCTCCTACCCTTCCCACAGTCCCACCCTTCACACAGACGTTAATGAATTTATCCACAGACAAATCACTAGAAAAGTATAGTCGTTACCATTTATTAAGTACCTACTATGTGCTAGCCATATTGGCAGGCAGTTCTTACAATATCTTATTTAACATTCCTATGACGTCACTGTTCTTACTTCATTTCGGCATATACAGAAATTGACTCTCAGAGAAGTGAAGTACATTTTTCAAGACCACACGGTGATGAAGGGCAGAGCCAAGGCCTGTCTAATTCCAAAGCTTGGTCTCTTTAACCATAGGGAGCAGTGCTACTGGAACCGTCACTCCTAAAAATGCCCAGTTAATTGAGCTTCTGTTCATATTTTGCATTCATCCATGCCATCAAATGAGCCTACGGTACATCCTAGGTAAGAACTGCCACGTAAAGGGCATTTGCTTAGAATTCTCCTACTCTCATTGCTGTGCCCTTTCTCTCTGCAGGCAGGCAAGTCCCTCTACTATGAACTCCTTATGGGTAGGGATCAGATTTATGTATCTCCTATATCCAACACTCCGCCCCATGCCCAGCCTAGAGAGGGTGCCCGTGGGCATTTGTCTAGGTGCAGTGTGCTGGGTGCTGGGCACAAGATGAGAGAGAACATGTAGGGGTGCCAGCGAGGTCCAGGAAGAGCAGGGGCAGAGGACGTGCCCATTGGAGGAACACAGTCATCAGGAATGCAATGGCGGGAGAGGGAAAGCTCATCGCCCTCGTTCTCAGGCTAACAGAAAGGCATTTTCCCCCAGGGGCCAAGCCATTGTTATCACGGAAACAGCAGCCTTCAAATTCTTTTATCTTCCTGAAATGTAACTTCAGATCATTTGACTCTGAATCACAAGAGAAAGCCTAACAGCAAATTTTCTCCACACTAGGTACAAATTTGGGTAAACAAGAAAGCAAAATGGAATGTGGGGAAAGAAGATAAAGACAAATGATCTAAAACGGAACTGCGGTAGTCTGGCGGGTGATTGCACAGGCCGGCACTGTCTTCCTGCTTCTCCACGTAGACGGGCACTACCATCACATCGGCAAAAATGCAAATCAACCTCAGTGTTTCGTAAAAAAGTCCAACCACATAACCCAATTAAGTCCACTGTTCCTGAAACAAATGGATCTTCTAGGAAATGAACACAGATCAAGTCAAAGACATTTTCCTATTCACCCGACTCCGATTCTGCTCATTTGTCTCCTTTTCCCATGCTCCATCCCACTTTCATCTCCTAATAACAGGCTAGCAGTTTCTTTTCTAAACAGAAACTTAACAGCCACCCAGTTTTGCATTTATTCAGCACATTTCCTGCTGAGAACTGTCCATTAGTGGGAGCTTTACCATGACCTAACCTTGCAGCGTTCTGGGTCGAGTTGGCACGGGCTGGGGAAAGGATGGGAGCAGGAGGCGGCTGAAATTAACCTGATTTCAGCAGTTGGCTCCTAAGTGTGTTTGCATCTGTTGTCTTAATGGACTGTGAGAGCTGCCAGGTTGTCTGCCAGAACCTGCCGTCAAGGTGGAGGGACATAGGCAGGCAGCCGGAGGGAGCCTGCAGCCTGGGTGCTCACCTTGCACTGCCAGGTTAGTCTACCTGGAAGCCTTCAGTTTCTGGTTAAGTTTTGGTTTTGTTTTGTTTTGTTTTGTTTTTGAGATGGAGTCTTGCTCTATTGCCCAGCCTGGAGTACAATGGCGCGATCATGGCTCACTGTAACCTCCGCCTCCTGGGTTCAAGTGATTCTTATGCCTCAGCCTCCTCAGTCGCTGGGATTACAGATGCATGCTACCACATCTGGCTAATTTTTGTATCTTTAGTAAAGGCAGGGTTTCATCATGTTGGCCAGGCTGGTCTTGTACTTCTGACCTCAAGCAATCCGCATGCCTCAACCTCGCAAAGTGCTGGGATTACAGGCGTGAGCCACCACACCCAGGCAGTTTTTCCTTTAAAAATAAAGGAACTATTCAGTCCAGGGTGGGTTTGTTCAATCAGAACCCAAACCAACCATTTTCATCAACCATGATTCCTGGGAACCCATTTTCATGTCTTATTCATGGTGAGAAGGCAGGTTCTTCCACATCCAATTCCCGATCACAGACCCCAGCAAAACACACTCGCTGAGAGCCCTCAACTGTATAAAGGGGTTCTATTCAATCAAACTGAAATTACACCTTCTTGCCTCCTAAAGAAAAGTTACAACTGTTATTCTTTTCTTTTCTTTTGTTTTTTTCCACTGTCACCCAGGCTGGAGTGTAATAGCGCAATCTTGGCTCACTGCAACCTCTGCCTCCCAGGTTCAAGTGACTTTCCTGCCTCAGCCTCCTGAGTAGCTGGGATTACAGGTATGTGCCACCACACCTAACTAATTTTTTTCTTTTTCAGTAGAGACGGGGTTTCACCATGTTGGTCAGGCTGGTCTCAAACTCCTGACCCTGTGATTCGCCCTCCCAAAGTGCTAGGATTACAGGCGTGAGCCACCGCACCCAGCCACGACTGTTATTATTTTCTAAAACACAATAAGCTATTACTTATTGAATATAAACTGCCTTCCAAGCTTTATGGTCAACGCCTTAAGTAGCCTGATTATTGTTCCCATATGACAGATGAGAACACTGAGGTAAACAGGGGGCATGGACTCTGGCCAGAAGAGGCCTTACACAGCTAGAAAGGGAGGAACAGGGCTGAAATTCGAACCCAAGTCATTTGATTCCACAGTCTATCCTTGTTGGTTTTTGCAAGGGGACAGGTTCTACTCCCGGGAACCTCCATTACTTTATCTGGTTCCTAGGAACAGAAACCAACTCTAAAGAGAAAAGTACTTTGCTGAGGCTCATTCTGCTCCACTACTTCCATCCTTTTCCAATATGAAATCCCTTTGAGCTTTTTTTTGTTTGTTTGTTTTGAGATGGAGTCTTGCTCTCTTGCCCAGGTTGGACTGCAGTGGCATGATCTCAGCTCACTACAACCCCCACCTCCCAGGTTGAAGCGATTCTCCTGCCTCAGCCTCCCAAGTAGCTGGGATTACAGGTGCCTGTCATCATGCCTGGCTAATGTTTGTATTTTTAGTAGAGCCAGGGTTTCACTATGTTGGCCAGGCTGGTCTTGAACTCCTGACCTCAGGTGATCCACCTGCCTCGGCCTCCCAAAGTGCTAGGATTACAGGATTACGCCCAGCCTCCTTTGTGCTTTTCAAAACAGTATCCTGATAATCACTACATCTTCAGTCCACATTGAATAAGGGAAGAAGCTCCTATGAATTTAATGATGTTTATAAACAAATGTGTATCTTATTCATGACAATCAAATCCACAGACGTTTCATATGTGGATAAGTCATGTTATCCAGGCAATGCACACTTCTTAGTGCACATGGGGATTCTTAGATTCCATGAATCGATCTAGAAATCCACAGCCAGCATTGATTCCTTTCTCTGCTCTTTGTCTCATGGGTGGGTACCCAAATTAGATGATGTAAAGGTGGATAAGAATTCTGGCTTTAAAATAACAGCACAGGCCGGGCGCGGTGGCTCACGCCTGTAATTCCAGCACTTTGGGAGGCCGAGGCGGGTGGATCACAAGGTCAAGAGATCGAGACCATCCTGGTCAACATGGTGAAACCCCATCTCTACTAAAAATACAAAA